GCCGAGTCTGCAGCCTACTCCCCGCTCCGCGAGGGGGCGAGGGCCCACGCCTGCCCAGGCCACAAGGGCCCGACGCCGTCCAGCGGCCGCTCAGCGCCCGGGGAGCCCTCCCCGAGGACGCAGCCTGTCCAGCGCCCGCCGAGCGCCTCTCAGACGGCTGTGGGAGGGAGAGGGTCAGCACCCTCAGCTTAGGGCCTGCCGCGGCTCAAAAATCTGAGGAAAAAACAAGTGTTCCCGTGCCCCCACCACTGGGCGGCCGCCTGCAGCCTCTGTCCTGGGGGGCCTGCGCCCCCCTGCCCGCCCTCGGCCAGCCCCAGGAGAACACCGACCCCGGGTGTTTACTGGGGGCCCCCGTGGTGGAGGGGAGGGCGTGGACTGGCGGGGGGTCAGCTCTAGCGGCCAAGGCCTGACGCCCTGTCGCCTGGGTGGGGACGGCTCTGCGGGGGAGGGGAGAACCCCCCAAGTCCAGGAGCGCAGGGGCCAGTGGGCGAGAGGGCACGGGGCAGCCGGAGGGCCTGGGCACGGTGAGCCTGGAGGGGTCACTGCAGATGGGGTGGCCCGGGCCGTACGAGCCCGTCAGGGAGGGCCATGGCCTTGCCCCTCCCCGCCTAGCGGCCCCGTGGCCACGATGCTCCAGGTCTGGCCGCCACTGCCTGGACAGAGGAGGCGCTGGCCTGGGGTGCGGTCTCGACCAAATCAGGGGCTGCCCACGGGAAGGGGCAGGCGCCTCTAGGCCTCTGACGCGAGAAACCGGACCCTGGACACGGCATCGGGGACCTGTGCAGGCCACGCACGTGCTGCGCTCGCTCCCGGGGTGGACGGCCATGGTGTGGACACCGCCGGCTCCCAGGGCGCGGCCAGGGGCACCGGGAGCCGCCGCTGGGCGTGGGCAGGGGTTCAGGCTAGGTGAGAGAGGGGGCCCGCCATGCCCCCCGCGGAGGAAGCCTGGCGCCCAGAGCCCTGCCGGGCCCCCCAGGATGGGCGCAGCCTGGCAGCAGGAGCCCGCCCCGGACCTACTGTTCTCAGCGGACACCTGGGCCTTGGCCTGTCCCCGCACGAGCCTGCAGGTGGCGCCGCTGCCCGCACACACCCCGCACTGGTCCTCCTTGGCCTGGCTTCCCAGGCGCCGGTCGCAGCCCACTGCCTGCGGACAGACAGAGCAGAGCTCAGAGGCTGGGCACAGGCC